TTTTTAAATACAAGCTTTGCGTCATCAGATCTAAGTGGTGGCACTGGTCACCGTATCCACTGTTAGCGTAACACACCCGCTTTAAGGACACTGACTGCTATTCAATCTATAACAGTGAAAAAAGTGTTTTTTGTTTTTGAATACAAGCTTTGTGTCACCAGATCTAAGTGGTGGCACTGGTCACCGTATCCACTGTTAGCGTAACACACCCGCTTTAAGGACACTGACTGCTATTCAATCTATAACAGTGAAAAAAGTGTTTTGTTTTTTTATATATATGCTTTGTGTCACCAGATCTTCGTGGTGGCAATGGTCACCGTATCCACTGTTAGCGTAACACACCCGCTTTAAGGACACTGACTGCTATTCAATCTATAACAGTGAAAAAAGTGTTTTGTTTTTTTAAATCCAAGTTTTGTGTCACCAGATCTAATTAGTGGCACTGGTCACCGTATCCACTGTTAGCGTAACACACCCGCTTTAAGGACACTGACTGCTATTCAATCTATAACAGTGAAAAAAGTGGTTGTTTTTTTAAATACAAGCTTTGTGTCACCAGATCTAAGTGGTGGCAATGGTCACCGTATCCACTGTTAGCGTAACACACCCGCTTTAAGGACACTGACTGCTATTCAATCTATAACAGTGAAAAAAGTGTTTTTTGTTTTTAAATCCAAGCTTTGTGTCACCAGATCTAAGTGGTGGCACTGGTCACCGTATCCACTTTCGTTAGCCGCACACACCCGCTTTAAGGACACTGACTGCCATTCAATCTATAACAGTGGAAAAGTGGTTGTTTTTTTTAACCAAGCTTTGTGTCACCAGATCTATGGTGGCAATGGTCACCGTGATCCACTGTTAGCCAGAACACACCCGCTTTAAGGACACTGACTGCTATTCAATATATAAATAAGTGAAAAAAAAGTATGTTTTTTAAATCCAAGCTTCAGGCCACCAGATCTGGTGGCAATGGTCACCGTGATCCACTGTTAGCCAGAACACACCCGCTTTAAGGACACTGACTACATTCAATCTATAACAGTGAAAAAGTGTTGTTTTTTTTAAATCCAAGCTTTGTGTCACCAGATCTAAGTGGTGGCACTGGTCACCGTATCCACTGTTAGCGTAACACACCCGCTTTAAGGACACTGACTGCTATTCAATCTATAACAGTGAAAAAAAGCTTTTTGTTTTTTAAATCCAAGCTTTGTGACACCAGATCTAATTGGTGGCACTTGTCACTCAGTATCCACTGTTAGCTAACACACCCGCTTTAAGGACACTGACTGCTATTCAATCTATAACAGTGAAAAAAGTTTTTTGTTTTTAAATCCAAGCTATTGTGACACCAGATGTAATTGGTGGCACTGACTGGGAAATGGGCACAGTATGCACTGTGAGCCTGACACAGAAGTGGCAGTGGCAGAACAACTGACTGCTATTCAATCTATAACAGTGAAAAAAGTTTTTTGTTTTTAAATCCAAGCTATTGTGACACCAGATGTAATTGGTGGCACTGACTGGGGAAATGGGCACAGTATGCACTGTGAGCCTGACACAGAAGCTGGCAGCAGTGGCAGACAACTAAGTGCATTTACATTACATAGAAAAAATAAATAAAAAAAAAAGCATACCCTTATCCCTAACCTAGCTATGCTTTTCCCTATCTTATGAACAGCAGCTACACTTTCCCTCCTCTTACTAAGCATGCAGCTTGAGAATGAATCTAAAATGGATGCCTTCCAGGAGGTGGGAGGGTCTGCTAGGGAGGGTGTGCTGCTAATTGGCTGGAATGTGTCTGCTGACTGTGAGGTACAGGGTCAAAGTTTACTCAATGATGACGAATAGGGGGCGGGTCGAACCGCGCATATGTTCGCCCGCCGTGGCGAACGCGAACATGCTATGTTCGCCAGGAACCGTTCGCCGGCGAACCGTTCGGTACATCACTACCAGTAACATGTCTGAAGCCCTGTTTACACCCAGTAAGATGTCTGAAGCTGTGTTTACATCCAGTAACATGTCTGAAGCTAGTTCTACCCCCAGTAATATATTAGCCGGTACATGGAACTGTCTCTTTACTCCGGTCACAATCCCAGCTAATCCTGAGTGTAAGGTCACTGAGATCAGACCCACATCCAGATCCCCAGCATGGACCTTGTTATCATCTCTCTCTCTGTCCTCATTATCTCCTTCCTCCGTATCACAATAATCAGCTCTGTCTGATTCCCGTTCTTGTAAGACAGTTAATGGGTCCATCATGTTACATAGCTCCTCAATGTGACCCATCTTCCTGGACAGCTCCTCCTTCTTTATTTCCAGCTGATGGATTAGATCTGAGACTCTGAGTGAGACATGCTCTTCCTGCTTGGAGATCTCACTCAGGACTCGCTTCTCTAGAGCTTCCAGCTGTTCCTTGATACCCCTAATCAGGACAGTGACTTCCTCTGTTACCCCAGTTGCTTTTTCTGACACTTCTCTCCTGAGCTCCTGCAGGCTCTGCACTCTTTTCTCAGCCTTCTCTCTCTTTGAGGTCAGTTTCTGCAGAATATTGGTCAGCTTCTTCTTCTTCTTCTCAGAGGCCTCATTCATAGTCTCCAGCTGGTGTCCCATGTGTTCTCCATCCAGCCTGCAGGACACACAGATACAGGCAGCATCCTCAGAGCAGTAATACTCCAGGACCTTCTTGTGGACCGAACATTTTCTATTCCCCAGTGAAGTGGTGGGTACAGTTAGGACATGTTCTGCTGACTTGCCTTGGACCCTCAGGTGGGCTTCACACAGAGAAGCTTCACACAGCAGACATGTTTTAGCAGCAGGTATAGGAGAGTGAATACAGTAAATACAGGAGATCCCAACCTCCTCTTGCTCTGGGTGAGTAAATAGGAACCTCTCTACTATGTTAGCCAGTTTTACAGCTCTTTGCAGGTTTGGTCTTACCCTAAAGCTGTGTCTGCACTCAGGACAGGAATATTCTCTGTCCTCCTGGTTGTCCCATGTTCTTGTGATACAGACCCGGCAGTAGCTATGTCCACATATCAGGGTTATAGGATCTTTATAAATGTCCGTACAGATAGCGCAGGTCAGCTCGTCTCTCAGATCAGATGCCATCACTGAAAGCAGGAACAAGAAACAAACCGAATGTTTGTCATTTCTCAGAAATCAGTGAGACAGGTTTTACCACATTCCACACCCAGAGGACGGACAGTTTGTATCATAGGATTTAACTTCCTGACTGTTAACCCTGAGAGTTCCTAATGATCTATCTTTTCTATAACAAAATATTCAGAGTGTATAGACTGTAACTAATTCTTATTCCTTATTGTGAGTTTATTTTCTATAGAAAGCTCTAAATAACGTGTTACAGTGACAGCAGGGCCGGTGCAAGGATTTTTGCCGCCCTAGGCCGCCCTGCACCGGTCCTACTGTCACTGTAACACATTATTTAGAGCTCTCTATAGAAAATAAGAAAGCCCTGAGCAGCTCTTTATATCTTTTAATTTTTTTCATAGTGCTCTTCTTTCCTGTCAGTTAGTGATCTCCCCTTCCCCCCTGTCCCTCAGTGTTCTCCCCTTGTGTCCCTTAGTGCTCTCCCTTGGCCCCCTGTCCCTCTGCAGTCCCCCCTTGGTGATCTCCCCCCTCTCCCTCTTAGTGGTAAATGTGATTATAAACAATGCCTTGCCATTCAATAAACCAGACTTCTTAACCTCAACTTGCAGCGTCGACTTGTGTTGTAGGTAAATGCTGATTGCTAGCTCTGCTAAGTGCTATCTGGATACTCTACACTTACAGGAATATCGCTAGATGTGGAATTGGAGCTTTCTACCACTCTCCAGAATCGGGGACAAGGACATCCAAGTGGTCCAACCCTCAGCTAGCCTGAGGCAACCATAACAACCATCAAGTAAAATATGCTGTTTCTACTTTTCAATACCATACAAAGAGCTCGGCCTAAACCTGGAGAATGGCTAGAGAATTACATTAACCATTACATCTCCCATCACACTCAGTCAGCTAATATACAATAATATTCACCCAGTACACATAATGACACACAGTACCACACAGAGGTCTTGAGTCCTGCAGGAATGTGTGGGAACGGCGTCCCTGCACTTTTTTACAGCAGGAACACCGTTCCCGCTGTTGCTACAGGCACTCAGGGGGCGGCAAAAAATGCCGCCCCCCCCATTTTCCCCACTGTTATGGGGGGCCCAAGAGGTGGCCTAATAGTCAACTGATTGACCCCACTGGCGGGCACCTATCTCCCGGTCACACGTTGCGAGGGAGCTGTGTTCTCTCTGCTCCCTCTCGCCGCGCGCCGTTTGCTGATGCCGGGAGCCGGAATATGACATCATATTCCAGCTCCCAGCATCCGCAGACAGCCCATGCGGTGATAGGGGGCAGAGAGAACACAGCAGCCTCACCACAGGTGACCGGGAGACAGGCGCCCGCCCCACTGGACCCCAGGGACAGGTCCTCTCCAGGTAGGGAGGCTGGGTGGACATTTTTTAATTTTAAATTAATATGTGTATCTCTGTGTGTGTGTCTGTGAATGTGTGTATGTGTGTGTGTGTCTGTGAATGTGTGTTTGTGTGTCTGTGAATTTGTGTGTGTGTTTGAGTGGTATGTGTATGTGTCTGTGAGTGTGTGTGTGTGTGTGAGTGTGTGTGTGTGCACGCATATATATATATATATATATATATATATATATATATACATACACACACACAAGTGTATATTATTTTTCTGGGGGGGAGGGAATCTTGGGAGAGTTCCCACACTTTATTAGGGCACATGTATTAGGGCTTATTGTAAAGAGGTAATTGTGGTGATCCAGTACCATGACATTTCAAATTATGTGGACATAATGTAAGTATGTAAGATACCAGGTTATTGACGGGGTTCCACCCCTTAGAAGATAATCTACATCCCTTATACAGACACTAGAATCCTTATACACATTCTAACTCCTCTACACACACTAAATCTGTATACTAGTTAATATATAAACGGCATATATCATTCTTTGGTATTACACACTCTCAGGTATATACATTTGTTGTATTTTTTTTAGCTATTTGTTTCAGTTTATATTTCTTGATTTTTTTACATGCATAACTTTCAATCTGACCAGTGATGGCGGTATTGCAATTATATTTTTCAGTATTTTTGTGATTAGGTCTTTGGAGGGTCAGGATGACCCCAATACCTGCACCAGTGGTTCAATAGAGTGCTAACACATTTCTTAACTTATAATACTCCTTACCCACCCACCCTGACACATCCTAAACACGTCTAATTATTATTGTTATTTTTATTGCTTTAGTTGATGTTATATATAATTTGTATTGAGGTGAACATAATCTAAATATGCCAAATCTTAACCAGTTAAAAGACCTGTCAAAGGACCAATGTTACCAACAAGCTCCTCTTAAGAGAAAACACTGACAGCCCTAAATACAGATTTCTCTTATAACCTGATATATATTTTCATCTCCGTTAATTTTGTATTGTTTACCTTTTAATAACAAACTTTTTTTTTTTGCATGTAAAATTGCCATTATGACTTGACCTTTGACAAATGTGTAATTAAATTAACCGTGTATGTATAATATATGCATGTCAGTAAGCAACGCATCTCGTTTCAATCTTTCAACAACTCCTTGTAATTACCTGTTTACCCAATAAAATCTAATGTCCAGACGAAATAAATTCTCTCTTTCCTGATAGCTCTGACAACTGTAACTATCTTAATCAGGTATAAGGCTCTAAAGTACCTCTGCTATATCCTAATATAATTGTCCTGTTAATCACTTATTCACCTCTGACCTTATCAATTATCTTCCCTAATTAACTCTACATTTTCATGGTTAATTAATTTTAACTTGCTCTTATCGGATAGTTTGTAGCACACTATCTTTATGCTTTAAATTAAGTCTGGCTATCAAATGGAATAACTTGGCTAGTACATCAATCCCCGATCAGCAGTAACCTATCAATGTGGACATGTTTTCAGAGCCTAGATGGTCTTGATGACCTTTCAGGTTACTGTGACTGCAGTCATCTATGGAAGTTGATTATAAATCGCTTAGCATCTAATATCTAATACCTAGTGACCTATTGGTATAGCCTAAGTATTTAAAGGGACACCATAGTTACCAGAAAAACTACAGCTTAATGTAGTTGCTTTGGTGTCTATGCCAGTCCCTGCAGGCTTTGCAATGTAAAAGGCAGTGTTTACATTGCTGCCTAGTAACACCTCCAGTGGCAGTCACGCAGACGGCCACTAGAGCTGCTTCAGAGTCTCCAAGCCCTGCATGGAGACGCTGAATGCTCTTCATAGAGATACATTGATTCAATTAATCTCTATGAGAAGATGCTGATTGGTGCAGTGTGTCATTTGTCGTTTTTCCTATGGCAAAGCATTGGATTGGCTGAGATCGTCAAATTTGATGATATCAGCCATGGAGTTGGAGCAAGGCGGGGCCAGCCACAATGAGACTGGGTGGGGCAGGAAAAAAATTCAAGTAAAATCACCTTTTAAAAGTAAGGAGAGGGGGGACGGTTGGCTAAACAGTGCTTTTAAAACTATTGTGTCAGGAATACAAGTTTGTATTTCTGACACTGCAGTGTTCCTTTAAGGAGCATACCAAATGAATATAGCTATGGAATCCACTACCAGCATGTGTGAATACAAATAATAGTGGTGTATACCCTTATGTGACTTCTCAGGTCTCTGGTTAGTAAATCAGTTAGCAGCGATAGAGAGATATAATGCAACAATGTGAATTATTAACCAAGTAAAGTGCAGAAAGAAATGTATTCACTTACATGGAAGTTAATAGTAATAAGTGTGCAGCATCACCACAAGTCCTACACATTTCATCCCCAATGGGCCTTCCCCAGGGGCAGTCTTTGCAGTGTATACAAAGTTCAAAATAGAATACAAAAATCCCCTCTGTATCGCCAGCTTTAAATACTCTTCTTGATGGTATTTCTAGTGTTGATCCTTTGCGTCTTTTCCCAGTTGGTCTCAATTCTCTTCTAGTTTCCGCCCTTTTCTGACATTATTGCGTCTACAACATAATGACATATGTTCGCATTCTATACATGTGTTCCACTTGTTCTGGGTTGGAGACACTTCCTTATTTCGTGGAACATTCATTGACGTGATGAGGTTTGCTTGTCATCTGCGATCCACAATCCGGTTAGACCAGAACTAGGACTCCAAGTCCATAGAAATTAGTCCATAGAAATGTATAGAAGATGAGGGGGCACAAGGATGTAGTCCAGCACATATATAATAAAAAGAATATCTAACTTTATTGTACTATTAAAAATATATAAAACAAAATAAAAGTAGAGAAACATAGAATGTGACGGCAGATAAGAACCATTCAGCCCATCTATGCTGCCCAATTTTCTAAATACTTTCATTAGTCCCTAGTCTTATCTTATAGTTAGGATAGTTTTATTCCTATCCCACGCCTGCTTAAACCCCTTTACTGTGTTAACCTCTACCACTTCAGCTGGAAGGTTATTCCATGTATCCACTACCCTCTCGGTAAAGTAATAATTCCGGATATTATTTTTAAACCTTTGTCCCTCTAATTTAAGACTATGTCCTCTTGTTGTGGTAGTTTTTCTTCTTTTAAATATAGTCTCCTCCTTTACTGTGTTGATTCCCTTCATGTATTTAAATGTTTCTATCGTATCCCCCCTGTCTCGTCTTTCCTCCAAGCTATACATGTTAAGATCCTTTAACCTTTCCTTGAAAGAACTAGAAAAAAATATAATAATAATAATATAAGCCTATAAATAATTTATATACAGAATTGATATGCTTAATATATAATTTAAAATGGATGTGACATAGCTATGACGAGATGTCAAGAGGGATTTTTAAGGATGGGGATATGGAGAGGGATCTTTGTAGAGGCGGAACCTGGAAGAGAATTATAACCAGTTGGTGAAAGACGCAAAGGACCAATAAGAACACTAAATATACGATTAAGAGGAATATCATAAGTTGGGGATACAGAGGGGATTTTTGTATTAATTTTTGAACTTTGTATACCTTGCTTAGACTTTTCCTGAGGAAGTCCCATTGG